TTCACGTCAATTTCGTTTTTGATGATTGACTGTTTGCGTTTTTCCCGCTCCGCCGCTTTTTTTAGGCCTTCTTCGAAACGTGATTTCTCGAATTCACGCTCCAAAAACGATAAACGACCTTTACTCTTTTCAATATCGCACATCAGTACCTCCATCTCTGCTTCCGTCGTACCTATTTGTCGTGCACATCGATCCGCCTTTGCCTGAATCGGAGGTTTTTTAATTCCTTAACAAAACTATTCATAGCTGTTCTGTACTAATTTTATAGCTCCACAAAGAATGGGTAAAAAAACCCGCATGCACCCAAATACACTGGAAACAGTGTAAAAAACGAGTCCCCCTCCCCCAACCTTTTCCTCAGCCCTTGTGCCCCCTGAGCTGTATCTGGGCACCCACCAACAAGCATTCCCCAACTCAAATTTCTGTTACAAACAACTAAAATATGAACTATGTCACATTTTGTTCTGCTAAGCTTGGGTGTTACGAATCAATTTCAGACTTATCAGCGGTTGACAGTGCAGTGAAGACCAAATAGGTGTGCACCAAAAAAAAAGCATAAAATATACGTTGCACAACGTGGCATGGGAAAAAATATAAACAAAGGGGAATAAAAAAATCGTCTGCAAGTACCCTGCGGGTCTTCGAACCGAATTGCGATTGTAGATTAGCAGTCGGATGACTAGCTACGATGAATTTCTTGCTATAAATAAGATATAGTTGAAAATTTTTTCTGTTGGAAGTTTTTTACCTATTTATCTACAAGAAATTTATTTGCCTACAAAATTTATCTATAAGCCTATAAAATTTACCTATAACCTACAAAACCTATAAAAAACAAAAAGAAAAATCTACCTATAAAAGTTGGTGAAAAGTTGAAAAAAAATCTGATTTACCAAAAATTTGTCACGATTTCGCTTCGCATTGTCTCTGTAGGATTCACGATGCCTAAGTTTTCGTTCAGCATTTTTCAAACGCTTCCGTTCAGCTTCAACCATTTGCTCCCAATCTTCAGCAGTTCGCTCGTCCAATCCTAGGAAACCATCAACTTCTTGCTTCAGACGTTTGCCCAGATTAAGCCTACAATTCCGGAAACAATTAGCAACAAGGCTACAACATCACGTTTGTGCTACACTAAAGTAGAAGGCAGTACGGGCCGTAACGACTCAATAAGCAATAGAAAAAGGCTAAAAAGCTCATGGACAGGAACAACAGCTAATTCAGCAAAGGGCAAAGACCAGTACGGGCAGTACAAGCCCTATAAGGAGACTATGAGCAG